GGGTGGGGAGCCCTGGGTGCCCCCTGTGCAGGACCGCGCTGTGACCCCTGCGCTGCGCTGCCCTCAGTGAGCCCGAGTGCTTGGCTTTTATGACTGCTGATGTTTTGATGAAGGCTGCCTGTTAGGGCCCAGCCCGAGCGCTGGCTGAGCTCTGCTTCCCGACATCAAAGGGGAGCTGGGAGGCAGCGCAGCCTTTGTTTGCGGGGAAGAGGTGTGCCACACAAACACGGAGCTCCGCGTGTTTGCGAAGCTCTCAGCCAGAAACGCTTTGATTTGGCGTTAAACCTTTGCCTGCTCTCAACCCCAACCGTTCTCATGCTGCGCTGGGACCGGCAGGCTCGGAAGGGGAGATGGCAGAAATGCTTTCATTGTTTATTTTGAACCAAGTGCGAAAAATAAACAGATCGTGAGGAGTCAATTGTGCTCTGAAAGGCTGCGCTCCCCCCGCAGCCCCACATTCTGCAGCGCACTGAGAGGGGAATTCCAGAGGCCCTCTGCTAACAGCACCGTAACGTGAACTGGAAATCCTTCTCCGTAATCACTCTGTGGGTGATTAGCAGGACAGGGGTAGGCGGCTGTGCTGGGAAGGGATTAACGTGAGCAGCATCCCGTTTTAATTTAGATGGCGTTTTACAGGCTATTAATTTTGACATTATTTCCTTTGGGGCGTAACGGTGGAGAAACACCTCGAGTTTGGGGAAAAAGCTGTTGGCTGGTGCAGGAGGCGAGTGCCACACGCTCGTGCTCTGCAGATGGGGTGCACCCAGTGGCTCCTGAGAGGAGAGCAGCAGCAGTGCAGCACTGGGACCATTCTGTGCGTGTCGTGGAGCTGACGGCGAGTGAATCAACCTGAGTCACTGCCGCTCGGCCCGAGCCGTGCTCTGCTCTGTGTAACTCACTCCGTGGGGTCTCGCTGGTGGGCAGCATTCCCAGTCCCAGTGCCTGGAGCTGCTGGCTGGCGCTGTGCTTGCAGCCTGCCCTGGAGCTGCGTGCAGGCTGCCGGCCCCCTGCTGCCACGTGGGACGTGGTGCTCCTGCAGTGCCCGCAGTCAGAGCTGTGCAGGGTTGTGCCACGGCGTTTCCTGCTCTGGAGGGCTGGGGGCTGGCTTGTCCAGCAGCATTTCAGACCGGGACTTTCCTGCTGCGGAAAGCCACTGCGGTCTCTCCGACGCTCAGAGGTGAGAAGTGAGGATTTGGAGTCATGGATTTTTTTTCTTTTTTCTGTTTCTAGAAGCAGAGCAGGCAAAAATGCTTGATCATGCCATGCTGCTGCAGGTGATCAAAGAACAGCAGGTGCAGCAAAAGCAGCTACTTGACCAGCAGGCAAAGCTGCTGGCTGTGATTGAAGAGCAACACAAGGAGATTCACCAGCAAAGACAGGAGGAGGGAGGAGAGGAGAAGCCAAAACAAGGTAAGGAAACCACCGGGGAGCGTGAGCCCTGTGTGAGCTGGTCACTGCTCAGAGCAGCTTCAAAATCAGGCTGGGAGAGATCCAGGTCCCTCCAACACACGGCACAATTCGGTCTGCAGCAAGCCATTCCTGACTGTGTTTGAGCTCCAAGGTGGGGACCCCCTGTGCAGAGATAATGCTGCTGCTCATGTCTCACCCTGTTTCCCCACCTGCCCCTTGGTGGTGATCTCATTCTTCAATCTCATGTTGTGCACAGCATGGTGGGAGCAGGGAACCTATTGCTCTCTGAAAAAAAAAAAAAAGGTTGTACATGTCAGTTTTTCTTCTGCAGCAGAACTGCAACAGGAGCCTGCTGTGCCTCTCTCCAAGAGTAAGGAGGAAGAGAACCTAGGAGCTAAGCAAGAAGCTGCTGCAAACCCACCGGGTAAAGAGCCGCCGGAGCACCCTGTGCCGGGCGCAGGCAGGCAGGCTGCTGAGCCAGCTGAGCAGCGCAGGGTGACAGCAGGAAGGCTGGAGGAGGCTGGGCACGGGCGTGAGATTCCTGGGGTTCCTCCCAAGGAGTGGAAGGTGGCACAGCAGGAGATTGACAGAGCTGTTAGGAACGCTGCGGAGAACTCGGATCCCCTTCACGGAGATGCCCAACGTGTTCCAGCAGCCAGAAACCACCTAGAAAAGAAGCCCTTGGCTGAAGACGCAGGAGGAGGTCATGAAGCCAAAGCTGGAAGAGACGTCCACGAGAATTCCCTGAAAGCTGTGGAAGCAGCTACAGTTCCTATCCAAAGAGAACAGCTGAGGGCTGCCAAGGTTCAGGGAGTAGCAGGAAAGACTCTGGAAAGAGACTCGGGAATAGACCTTAAAGCCAAAGCAGTGAGTCAGGTGGAGCCCAAAGACCTGGCAGTTGCACTGGACTCCTTGAATAAACGGAACGTGGCAGGGAGTGAGCAGCACCTACGGGAGCATCCGAGAGCTGCAGATGCTGAAGGGGCTGACGAACAGCAGCCGGCCTCACGGGGGGAACTGGCCATCAAAGGGCAGGTGAAGGAAGAGGATCCTCAGCAGAGGGGGGTGGACGCGGCCCAGGACCCTCAGGAAGAGGGCAAGGAGAGGCGTGTGGTCGGAGGGCTGGCAAATGGTGCTGAGAAGAAACCGAGCCCTGAGAATGCTGCTGCCCGAAAGCTGGAGAAAGGAGCGGCGATCCCTGGGGACCAAAAGCAGGATGGTGACATCAAACCAAACCGGGACCTGAAACTGCAGGCGGACCTCGACCTGCGGCGAAGGAGGCGGGACCTGCTGCCTCGCCGGGAGGAGGAGGAGGAGGAGGAGGAGGAAGCCGCACAGGGGGCGGGGGTCTTCATTGGCCTCAACCCCCTTCCGGATGTGAAAGTGAACGACCTGCGCAGCGCTCTGGAGACGCGCCTGAACCAAGTGGCAGAGGGAGCGCAGCAGGTGGTCCGCAGCCGGCAGATCAAGCAGATGACAGAGGCGGATGGGAGCATGTGAGAGGGGGGGCCGTGCGCCGTGGGTGGCTCGGGGTGTTGGCCATGGGGGTGAGGCTGGCAGGCTGCGCAGGGGAGGCTGCAGTTCTCCGGCTGTTCGCTGCTCAGGCAGCCGTCACAGAGCCAGCTGTGCGTTGCTGGATGCAGCGTGCGATCCGCGGGGCCTCCTGGAGCTGCGAGTGCTCTGCGGGCTCCTGGAGTCCCTGCAGGGTCGCACCTCCCCCGTGTGCCTGCAGAGAGCTGAGGAGGTGACAACCGTGCAAGCAAAATTCCTGCTCTCCTGTGGCTTTCAGAGGTTGCCGTTGAACTTGGTTCCCTGGCAGCTTGCAGGGGCTGTTTTCAACATCTCGTTCATATCAGATTGCCTTCCCCCTCCAGCTCTCAGCTCCCCCTTCAGAGCCAAGGTGTCTGTCCGTGAGGTTCCCCTGCCTGCTAGGAGAGGCTTCTCTGGGTTCCTCCACCCAGGACTTTGGGGCAGGGCTCTGGGTCTGCAGCAGCAGAACTGGGAAGAGATGCCTGACTTGTGAAGGGTTTCGCTCTGGAGCAGCACCAAGGCAGATGGAGTTGAGGACAGGCTTAGCTAATTGCTTTGGTGTTTCTCTTGAAATGGGAGCTGTTAGTCTTGCATGTTTAGGAGTTAGTTGTGGTTTAGGGACCTAGTTTAGTAGAAATGCTGCCTTAAACGGGCACAACTGCTGCTGTTGTGCTGCCTCTACTCCCAGGGATTTAATTGGTTGGCCACACACTAGCAATAATGATGAGCTCTGCTCTCTCTTCACCCTCTCTGGATGCTCGCACTCTCATCTCTGCTTTCAAGCTTGACTTCTTCAGTCCAAAGTGCATTTCAAAGCTCAACCTGAGGGCTGCAGACCGCCCCCTCTCCAGCTTGATTTTTCTGCAAGAGGCAACTAACTAAGGGACAAAACACGTGGCTTAAAAGGGCGGACTCGAGGGGCTTGGCTCAAGCATACCTACCTCTTCTCTGTAACTCGATGGAGCTGTTTGTTTTTTGTGTTCTTCCCAGCCTCGTTCCATACTGTGTTTTACATCCATAGATGTCAGTACTCTGCCCCTAAAAATGTATTTTATGAGCAAGGAACGGAAGAGCTCTGGTTTGTTGCAGGCTCCCAGACAGTGGTTCATCCCATTGTTTTTTATTTTCACATCCTGACTTGCGAATGTAAGAAATCAAATCCCAAAGCTCACACTTAGAACGGCTGACGTTTCCCAGCCTGGAGTCTACAGACCTCATCACTGTGGTGGTTTTTATATCAGTATCTCAAAAGTGTCTTTGGTAAACTAACCTCGTTGAGTTTGTGTCTAGTGGGACCCCCTGGAGCCAGAGACAAGGCGTCACCAGGCCTGCAGGACAGCCACGCTGTTCTGTAAGCTGGCCTTGGCTGCGTCGCTCATGTCTGCTCCAGCAGCCAAAGACTGCTGTGTGCCTGGATGTGCGCCTGTTGCTTGGAGGACGTCCTTGAGCTAAAGAGACACAGAGCAACAGCTGCGACTCAGCCCCACTTCTTCACCAGGACCTCCCACGCCGCTTCCCTGTGCGTCTCCTTGTGACTGCCGGAGCCTTAACCCTCAGGACTTCATTGTACAAGTGAGCTTCTCCATCGCGCTGTCTTAAAGCACAAACCCAGGAGCCCCGCACAGCAGGGATTGGGCAAGGCAGGGGCTCCCGAGCACATTTCTCAGTGTGAGAGCCTGCAGCGAGCTTTGTCATCCCCTGCAGCACTCAGCTGCCTTTCTACAGGAGGAGGAGCCTTCCCTTCTCACACCTTGCTGTGTGCTGGGTCCACCCCAGGCTCTCCCATCCCGCAGGACGAGGACGTGCTCCTGCACTGCGGTGGTGCTGTGGATTTGGTGATGTGGATTTATTGCTGAACGTCTCTGTGGCGTTATGGATTTGTTGGCGTCGTCTCCGCGAACACAGAGGACCAAAGATGCTCTGACATTCCCCAGCAAGCCAGGAGGGACAGCACAGTCCCTGCATGGCCTCTCCTTGCCAGGGACCATTTGTACCGGGTCTGGAGGGGCTGGTGGGAGACTGAGCTGTGCAGATCAATAAAATAAGCTGAAGCATCTGTATCTGATTTTAATTTTTTAATAAACGGGCCGCGGTTCCCACACAGGCATTGCTGAGCGGGGAAAAGCTTCTGCGTGGGGGCGAAGGAGCCCGGGGCCGGGCCCATAACGCCGGCCAACCCCGAGCTCCACCCCCCCGCACCGCAGCTGCAGTCGCCGCTGTCACCTCCGGCACCTCAATCACTTGGCCGCCGCCGCCGCCTGCGGAGGAAACCGAGTGAGCGCTGCTGCCGGTACCGGTACTCTCCCCACCCGGAACCCCTGAGGCAGCACCCCGGGCCTACCGCGCGGGCGAAGCACTCCCGCAGGGCCTGGAACTCCCGCAGGCAGACGTCCCGCCGTAGCTCCACACTTCCAGCGGAGGCCGCGGCCACGCAGCGCCCGTAAGCCGATGCCTAAAGCGGGAAGAGGAAAGAAGCGGGGTCACCGAGGCCTACCGAGGTGTCTGGGTCACTGAGAATGCTCCCGGCCCGGCCCCACCTGCTCCCCGCAGCCCGCCAGCAGTGCGGGGAAGCGCCGCAGCCGCGCTCGAGCCCGGAGCCAAACGCCTCGACCCGACATCGCCTCATACTTTGGGCGCCGCCATGATGGCGGAAGAGCTGTTGGCCGCCAGGCCAGCTCACCCATGTGCCCGCCCCCTTGGCGTTTTGATAGGGGGAACGCTGAGTCTGTCAGTGCTCTGCTTGCTCGGATTGGCTAGAGTGGGCGGCTGACGGCGTGGATTGGTTGCGCACAACAACCGCCTCCTGACCGGCTTCAGATTGGTCGCTCGCCAGATGTAGCTCTGATTGGCGAAGAGGCCTGCTGTTTACTTCCCGTCTCCCTCCCCTTTGCTGCTGGCGTCAGCCTCGGAGGCCGCTTCCGCCCGGAGCTCCGCCCTTCCTGACTGCTGATTGGCGGATTCGGAGAACCTTGCACTCTCATTGGTGCGCTGCGTTTTCCGGAAGGCGGAAGTTTGAAGCCACATTGGGGCCGGGCAGGATCTGAGTCGGACTGTCATGGCGGTGCCGTTGCGGGACCGGTTGTGCTTCCTGAGCCGGGTACGGGCCGTGCTGGGGCGGGGGGCGGCCGGAGGGGAGGGGGGGCTGCCGGGGATGTGGCGTCACTTCGCCCGTCGCGATGTCATCGCCGCATCCCTCACCCATCCCTGCGCCGGGTCTCCTCTGCCCAACCGCCGCCGAGCCCCGCTCTTGGCGCCGTGAGGCCTTCACCGGCAGTGACGTGATGTCACCAAGAGGGGCCTGACGTCACCGTGGGGACGTGACGTCACCAGTTATCCCTGGGGGGTGGTGGTGGGGAGGGTTTCGTAGGCAGCCCTCACCATTCCTACTCTTAGCTGCCGGTGCTGCTGCGTGGCACTGCGGACGAGGAGGGGCCGTGCCCCGGATTCGTGCTGGAGGAGATCAGCAGTATCCTTTGGGGGAGCTGGGGCCGGGTGGGAGCTGGTGATGGTGTGAGATCCATCCCTAACGAGCGGCCCAGAGATCTCTCGTGAGTCGGCAGGCAGCAGCCAGTGCCTGCTGGAGTTCCTGCTGGGCCGGCTGCGCAGCGGCTCCTGCCACGTCAAGCTGAAGGTATGGCATTGCTGCGGGCTGGGGGCAGTGGCGGAGCTGTGGAGTGGACTCTTCACCTCAATGTTGGACCCCCAACACCCTGTCAGGTGCTGAAGATCCTGCAGCACACGTGTGCCCAGGGTTCACCCCAGTTCCTCCTGCAGCTGAGGAGGAACGCTGCCTTCATTCGAGAGGCTGCAGGTAATGGGGTGAGGAGTAGGGCGGGGAGCAGGGAGGGGCTCTGTGTCGGTGCTCCTATGGCTCTATGGAACAGCCTGGTGCAGCTTCTGCCCTGGACAAGGCCGGGTTCAGCCCCAGCCTGCTCATCCTCGTGCCTTGCAGCATTCACTGGGCCCCCAGACCCCCTCCACGGCAACAGCTTAAACCAGAAGGTCCGGGCTGCTGCACAGGTGAGTGCTGGCCCTGTTACCTCTGTGCCTGGGCACTGCAGTGGAGGCTGGAGCAGCTCCCACTCCCTGTGCCTGGTGCTCCTCAGTTCTCTTTCAAGCATCTCTCTCCCCTGGCAGGACTTGGCCAGCTTTCTCTTCTCGGATGCTGTGCTCCCAGCCATTACCACGCTGCCTGCCCGTCCCCTGCCTCCTGCAGGTAAGTGCAGGCTGTGCTGTACCCCCAGCTCCAGTGCTTTGCTGTGGTCTGGCCCCCTCTTACTGCTTGCTGGTGCATTGGGGCTGATGTCCCACAGCTCTGCCTGTTACAGGCTGAGAGTATTGTGTTGGACAGAGAATTGTACCCAGGTAAACAGAGATACAGGCTGCCATAAGTGTTCTCTTCAAGTGCTCTGGCTCCCATCTCCCCCATGCAGATACAAAGGCTCTGCTGTGCTTTCTTGGGGAGGAACGGCAGTGAGGGGAGACCCAAAATGCCTCTGCTCTTTCTGATTGTGCCTCGTACCTCCCCTAGGTATGGGTTCCAAATCCAGTCCCTGCAGCTCCATGCAAGGATTTGGCTTCAGCAGCGAGAGAGGCGGCTCCGGTAAGTGCCTCTGAAACTCTTGCTGGGCATTGCCCTCACCCTGCAGGGGTGCTGCCCCCCGGAGACTTTGGGCCAGACTCTCAGATTCCCAAGGCTCTTTCCCAGCCTCAGCAGGTGAAGCCCTGCTCAGCACCATCCAGCGAGCAGCTGAAGCGGTGGCCAATGCTGTGCTTCCCTCACCGGAGGGACCCCGGTCTCACTGTGGGGAACTCCATGAGGATGCCTACCAGCCTGTGACAGCTCCTTCTCCTGCCAGGAGCCTGGCCAGCTCAACCAATCCACCTGCAGCCACTACAGCTCACATTGCCCGAGGTGCGTCACCCCTGGCCTGTGCTGTCCACCCCACTGTGTTTTGGGGTGGTTTGGTCTCCTTCTGGGTCACTTGCTGCTTTGCTGTTGCTGTCCTTTCAGTGAGCCACCAGCCGGGGCTGGCGGGGGGCGGCTGGGAGGAGGCAGACAGTGGGCACAGCTCCCAGAACTCCTCGCAGGAGAATGGTGACCTGAGCCGCACCTCAGACACCTACAGCAAATCGGGCAGCGACAGTCACTCTGGGGCCAGCCGGGAGCTGGTGAGCGGGGCTGAGAGGTAAGAATGGGGATCTAGGCACACTTCTCTGTGTGCTCTGAGTTCTTTTGAGATGGTTTCTCCATCTGCACAGTGCCTTTTTTTTTTTCCATACTGTATTTTCCATCTCCTGGAGCTGACAGGCTCTGTTCTTCTGGGGGGGTTTGTCCTCCTAGTCTGGACAGCCCTCAGCCAGATAGAGCTGACTGCAGGGACACTGCATGCATAGGAGGGAGCAGGGCTGTCCCCATCACTGTGCTTTCCCTGTGCAGGGTGGATGCTGACAGCCTGGGTGATTGCCTGAGGGAGGTGAGCCTGGTGTCAGCGCTGACCCAGGGTGCCAGGGTCTTCCTGACCAGGGAGGAGGCACAGCACTTCCTCAAGGAGTAAGTGCCCAAGGTGGATGCTCCCCAGGAGCGTGGGTGTCTGTGGTGTGGGCTTGGTGGGGCAGCGTGAGCCCTGCCTGCTGGCCCTGACTACAGGGCCAAAGTGCTTGTGGGGTGCTGCGTGTGTCCATAACCGCTGTCCCTGTGCCAGGTGTGGGCTGCTGAACTGCGAGGTGGTGCTGGAGCTGCTCAGTCGGGCCCTGGAGGACCCCAGTGACAATGTCCGCATGGTGAGTGCCCACGGGGCTGCTGCTGGTTTGCATCTGCCACTGGGGGGCTGCAGGCTCAGGAGGGACAGGGGAAGCAGCTCTGCCAAGCTTGGAGATTTTGGTGCCTGCTGCCCTGCTCAGCTCTTGTCCCCCTACAGCGGTCCATGAGCGCCATCTCATCCCTCATGTGCTCCGACCTGCTGGCTCTGGACCAGATCTTTGCAGGGACACGACAGCAACTGCAGCAGCTCAGCCAAGGCAGCCCCGGCCCTGTGGCCAACCGAGCAACCAAGGTGACTCCTGGGACACCCCCACGACTCCTCCCCAGATGGTGGTGCACTCTGGGTTTTGTTACCCTGTCCCTGGGGGCACCCCTTGCTGCCAACCCTTGGAGTTGGTTCTGTGCATAATGGATGGGCAGTAATCGTGTCCCAGGATTGTACTGCTGCTCCCAGAGCCCGCAGACCCTTCTGTCCTGAGGGTGGCTGCAGGCACTGATGCCCAGGTCGTGGGTCCCTGGTAGAAGATGCTGGGGCCAAGCCCCTCATACTGCTGATGCTCACTGTGCCCTGTTTCACCTCTCCTCCCAGATCCTGCGGCAGTTTGAGGCTCTATGCAGAGGCCGCCCGTCCCCCAAAACTTCACGCCCGTGCTCAGCTCCATCTACCCTCGCTGAGGGCTCAGCCCCATGCACCGGGGACCTGCTGACAGACATCCCACCCCTGCTCGATGAAAGCATCCTCCAGCCCCTGTCTGCACCCACACTCCCTGGCACTGCACCAGCTGTGGAGACAGAGCCGGCATTGGAAGAGGAGCCCTGGGAGCAGCCAGGCCCCACAGCAGTGCCTGTCGCACACAGACAGGAGGCAGCGAGCAGGTTGGTGGGGGATGTGGGCACGACGGCAGTGCCCACCCGCAGCCTGTCCCTGTTTGCTGGCATGGAGCTGGTGGCACCGCCGGGCACGGCGCTCACCCTGCGCTCACCGCCTGCGGAGCCGCGGACGTTGCCACAGCCCCAAGGTGACACCATGCCTGATCCGAGCGACGCAGAGCCTTCAGCCTTCTCCTTCCTCAACGCGTAGCTGCCTCCGGGATCCTGCAGGGCTGCAGGCAATGGCTGTGGGGCTCAGCGTGGGCTTCTCACCAACAAGCAGCCCTATGGAGACGAGGGCAATGGGGCTGCGCCTGGGTGCTGCCAGGGAGCTATAGGATATGAAATGGGGCCGGTGGCAGAGCTTTAAGGAGTCTGTCACTGTCTTCCCGTTCTGGGAAGGTAGGTGGCCCGGCCTGACCCGTGGGGGTCCGTGCTGCAGACCCTGCACTCCTAGGGCCGGGGACGCCCTGAGTTGGACGCAGGGTCAGAGCTGTAGGGGTCGCGCTGCGGTGATGCTGGTGGGGCCGCAGCCGGAAAGCACCAATAAACCTGAGCCCGGATGGGACCTGCGGCTGCCTCCGAGTGGTTGCTGGGGCCTCGGCCCTCACAGTCCCCGTCCCAGAGCCCCTTTGGAGCCAGAGCCCCTTTAGACGCACAGCCCGCACCTCCGGACCCCGCAGCCCTTCCAGCCCCGCCCCCATCGTTCCCACCTCCCGCCCCCTTTTTCGCCTCAGCCAATCCGGCTCTTTGCTCCGCCCCGCGTGGCTCCGCCCATTCCCCCTCTGACCGACAGCCGCCTCATCCAATGGCGCGGCCCCCGCCCCCTTCGCGCTGACCAATGAGGGCGGGCGGACGGCGCGGGCAGGTGGGGGGCGGGGCGAGGCCTGGGGCCGGCGGGGCGGCTGCACTCGGGCCGGGGGTCCGGCGGGCTGCGGGGTCGCGCGGTCGCGCGGTCGCGGCCTCCGCGTGGGGCCGTTCCTCGCCCCGCCGCAAGATGAGGAGCGCTCGGAGCAGCTGCTCGTGCCCGGGCGGCGCCGTGGAGCTGAGCCTTACCGGGATGCCCGTGCCCGTGACGCGACGGCCCGGCAGCGCCTCGACCGCCAAGCACGTGGTGCGCTCCGTGTCGGTCGTCGGCGATGGAAAAACCAAAAGGAACGCGCTGGTGCGTGATGCTGTGCTGGGGAAGAGGTGGGTTGGGATGGGGGGCATTGGGGACTGCGTCTGAGAGCGGCCAGGGGGATGGGAGATGGGGCTGGGCAGGGAGGAGCGCGGTGGGGTTGTGCGAGGACAGGGGCGGAGTCCTGCGGTCGGGGAGGAATAACTGAGTGCATCGGTGTGGGTACGGGGCTGAGCTGCTGGGAAGGACCTGCGGGTCCTGGAGGCCGGCAGTTGAGTTGGCATTGATTGACCGTGTGCCAGCAGCGTGCCCTGGGGCCGAGAA